GGGCGCCGGGTGCGGGGCGCCGGGTGCGGGGCGCCGGGTGCGGGGCGCCGGGTGCGGGGCGGGCCGTGATGGAGCTGCGGCCCCGCGGCTCTCAGCGCTTCAAGGGCACGGACGGAGCCGAGCCGGCGGCGGAGAAGGCGAAGCCCGGCAAGTCGGAGAAGGAGAAGGAGAAAGCGGCGAAGGCCGAGGAGCCCGCGGAGGAGGTCGGTGAGGCCGCGGCCGGGGAGCCGCACGCCGTGCCCGCAAATGGGGGGCGGGCGGAGGGGGGGAGGCGGAGCGCTGCCATCGGAACCGTTCTGCGATCAGGGGCCGCCGAAGTACGTCAAATCCATCTTAAAGAAGGGCGACAAAACCAACTTCCCAAAGAAAGGAGACACCGTGCACTGCTGGTACACCGGGAAGCTGCAGGACGGAACCGTCTTCGACACCAACATCCAGACCAGTAAGGCTGCGTGTGTGCTGTGCGTGCGCCCTGTGAGCCTTTGTGCCTGCCTTCGTGGAAGGAACTGAGCTGGGCTGTGTGGGTGCTGGGCGTTACTGTGGGCTGCAGTGTGACACGGCTGCTTCCTGCCCTTCTGCTGTCCCCGCAGCCACAGCTGGCACTGAGTGCAGCGCTTCCAGCAGTGCTGCAGCTGCTTGGGGTGAAGGATGGGGTCTGAACGGAGAGCTTTCCTATCTGTGGAACAGGGCAGCATGGTTAGCTTCTCTGATGAGACACTAATTGGTGTGCTTGTGTAAGAAAACCTGCACTGTGGGAGCACTGGAGCAGCAGAGCTCTGAAACAGTCTCCTCTATAACACCAGAAGCACAGAACGGCCTGGATTGAAAGGGACCTCAAGGGTCACGAAGCTCCAATCCCCCGCCACAGGCAGGGCCACCAACCTCCACATTTCATAGCAGCCTAGGCTGCCCAGGGCCCCATCCAACCTGGCCTTGGACACCTCCAGGAATGGACGGGGCATCAGAGCACAGACGTGTGCTGATAATGCGCACTCATGGAATGGTGGGGTTGGAAGGCGCCTTTAAAGATCATTTGGTTCCAACCCCAATCGGAGAGTTCAGGTGTGTGACACCGAAGAGCAAGGAGCCCTTCCAGCAGTGCTGCCCAGCACTGCGAGGAGCTCAGACACTGCCAGTGATTCATTGCTTGCTTTAAAACACTTCTGCAGCATTCACAGCAGAATCGGTTCCCTGCTGGCTCTGCTGTTTCAGTAACACGTTTATGAGATGTGCCATCGAATGTAATAATTCAGAACTGACTCTCTTAGGTTCAGTGGGTCGGTATGTGGAAGATGTGTGTCAGCATGAAACCTAAACATTTAATGGTGTTTTTAGTGCACAACACTGAATTTTATCCTAAAAATCTGATAGTTCCTAGAGGTGATACAAGGAGGATGGGTATTTATTTAAAGCATGATCTCAGCAGTAATTCCAGATAAAGTTCGGCGTGTGATGTTAAAGCACATAAATGTAAAACTGTCTTTCAGGTTCAAAGAAGAAGAAAGCAGCCAAACCTTTAAGTTTCAAAGTCGGCATAGGAAAAGTTATCAGAGGCGTAAGTACAAATCAGTGCCGATTCCCTCGGGACCCAATGAGTTTTCAGCCTTCAGTTACATGGCTGCAGTGCAGAGTTGGAGCTGGTTTGTTCCATGCTGAGGTGAAAAGGGGAAAGCTCTGCCATCAGCAGGACGTGCTGCTGGTCTGTTCTGGGTGCATCCATCCACCTGCAGCGGTGGGGGGGGAGCGCAGCCCCTTGCTGTCTGCACAGCACTGCAGCACAGAGATGATCGGGTTCCCAGGCTCAGCTGCTGCAGTGCTGTGTGCTCTGAGCAACCAGGAGATTGGCTTTTGTCAGCATCTTTTCTGTTTGCCTCAGTGCCGCTTTGTGTGCTGAGCCTCCATATTCTGGTTGCTGTCGTGTACAGAGTTGCGCTTTTGATGCTGTGAACTGTTCTGCAGATCCACCTGCTTGCTTAAATCTTCAGCCCGCAGGTACTGGTGTGCTTGGCTGTGTGGGGGAGATTCCAGCACAGAGCGGAGCAGTGCTGAGCCTGTGCTGAAGTTGGCTGTCTGTGGCAGATAAGGATACAGGAGGGATCTGACACTGACCTGACTTTGTATCTGTTCATATGTGTGACCTTCCGTGCAGCTGCTCTGCAGAAAGGCAGCCCTGCTGGGTGGAACTGGGGGGGGGAAGCAGCCTCGGGCACGTGGCCAGCACTGCAGAAGTAGCGGGGTTTTCTTTAGTCACTGGGTTTGATGCTCCTGTGGCACAGAGGGCCTTTCATCGGTTACAGGCCATGAGGAGCAGCTGTTTGTTGTGATACTGATGTGGTGCTCAAATGATTGCTGGTTTTGGTAGGGCAGTCTCAAAGAGGGACGAGGACTGATGTAAAGTTGGCATTTAAGAGCAGACCTCAATGAGCACTGATCCATGGTCAGGAGAGGGGGGAGATTGAGAGGTGGAGACGGAGCAGAAGACAAAACCTCTCAGTGCTGTACAAGCAGTGTTCAGCTCCAAAACGTGTTCTGAGGCCGTGCATAGTTGCCTTGAAGCAGGCATGTTCACTTCTTTGATTCAGCAGCACATTTGCTACGTGGATCCGTGGGGCTGAGCTGTGCTGGACGGCCCAGGCCGGTGCAGATTGGGTTGGTGCCAACAGCAGCTGTGGGTAAATGCTTCCTCAGATGGAAGGAATGAGGAGGTACCTTACAGCGTGCACTGGGGGGGTGAAATGCTGGAAGAAGTTGTTCTATCAAACTGAGCTTTGTAGAAACGAGGTGAGAAGCAGATCAGCGCGCTTTTTTGTTGGTGGTGCTTTAAGACTTTGTTGTGTTTTCTTTTGTTTTGGTCTGTCTGTAGTGGGATGAAGCTCTCTTAACTATGAGTAAAGGAGAGAAGGCTCAGCTGGAAATTGAACCTGAGTGGGCGTATGGCAAGAAAGGGCAGCCGGATGCTAAGTATCCTTTCACAGTCAATAACTCACTGCTATTTTAAGTGCCCTGGGAATGCAGCTTGGCAGAAGGATGTGCTTTGCAGGCAGGGACGCAGGGCAAAGTGTTCACTTGCTGCTTAGAGCAGGCTCAGAGCACCGGGGGATATAAATAAGTGTTACGAAGCGATGGATCCGACTGCTCACTTGTTTGGAAGAAAACCTTCTGTCCACGTTGCTGCATTCCAGCATGCAGCAAAGGTTTCTCATTGTTTTCTACCTTTTTTTTCTCCAGCTCCTTCTGAATGCAGCAAAAGCACAGATAACAGCCAGTGTAGCTGGGAGAAGCTGCTGCTGTAGTGTTGGCGCTTGCAGAGCAGCAGCTCTGGATACAGCTGAAATTACAGCTGAATGAGTGGTCCTGTTGATTTTTTACCAACCCTTCCTGCTGCTTATTAGGGATTGCTCTCCTGTTTTAACCTTACGTCTGGTAGCTGGAAGTGTTGTCCGAGCAAATTTACGGCAGCGTATCTTGAAATGAGGCAGTTTGCCCACAAGGGGAGACAACACTCAGCAGTGAAGGTAAAACTCAGATGGAGAGGAAGGTAAAACTTCAGGTGGAGAGGAATCACAGTAATGAAAGCGTGTTTCAGTAGCAGCTCGCCTGCAGCCCTGCTACTGAATGTCTCGCGACCGCTGTCGTTGAGCAGCTGCTGTGGTTCCACACTGAAGTCAGGATGTTAACACAGGCCAGGAAATGTGAAACAGACACTGAGCAGAACAGGTGCTGAACCATTGCTCAGCCCCACGAGCTGGTAACCGCCTCGTTCAGTTTCCTTAACTTGTGCCAACAGAATTCCACCAAATGCAAAACTTTTCTTTGAAGTGGAATTGGTGGATATTGAGTGAAATGAAGGTTTGTCTTTGCTGCTGGGAATGCATTTGAGCAAGAAAGCTTCTGACAGCTGCAGTTCTGCTCTCGTAACTTCAGGATATAACTACAACTGTGGCCTTGTATTGAAATCAGATTTGCTCCCCCCAACTGCTGTACAGTAACACACCACTAAAGAAAACATTGTTTATACATGCAACTGTTCTTTTGTGTCTGCTTGCCTCCCACCTTCTCTTGCTCTAAGGGGGAAATGCACAAAGCTCCAGTTACTGTAGAGGCAGCCCCCTCTGAACTGCCAGTCAGTGTCCCTGCCAACCTCAGTGTCCCTTCAGTGCTGACCCGTAACTGAAATGCCTTCATTTCAATCCTGAGCTGCCTTTCTCTCCTGACTTCATCACAGTGCAGCTGCAGCAGCACTCACCAGCACTGTTGGTTAGAGGTGGGAAATTTCTCCTTTAAATACATTCCAAACTGTTAGGGCTGCTGTCGACCCGCCTCGAGTTTGAGGTGTTTCTGTAACTACAGCACTCAATCTTTGTTTTTTGAACAAAACTGGCATTTATTCTCAGTGTGAATGAGGACATCCAAGAAAGCTCCAAGAACTGCTGAATTCCTTGCTTTTATTACGAAAATGAGAATGATCACTTTGATCAAAATGAAAAAAGTTTGCTCACATTGTGTACATGAAAAACTCTAGATACAAAAATCATCCCAAACACAGTTTGTGCTTCTTAAAAAAAGAATGCAACATCATTTTGCACTGCATTTTAATTTTTGACCCCCCCACGTGGAATAGAAAATACACATCACAGCTTTCAGAGGCTGCCACCTCCATCTGAAGAGGTTCAGCCACGAGCCTACAACAAAGCAATCTGGGATTTGCTCACCGGGGCAGAACAGCATCGCACCATGGAAATGGGTGAAGTTTTGGTTGGGAAGGAGAGCAGAACAGGGCAAAGAGCTGCTCCTCTCCCAGGGCAGCTTCTGGGGCCGACAAACCTAAGAACTGCTTGCTTTAAAACAGGAAGGTTTACTGCTTAGATCCACAGCACTGCATTGGGCCTGTGGGGCAGGATGGTGCCTGCAGGGTCGCCCCAAGCACCGCCTCCATCCAAGGTGCAGTCGGCGAGCTGCACCACCTGCACTGCTGTGAGCCTGCACTGAAGAAAGGCTTCAACATTGCACAGCAGCTGTGCGAGGGGGGTGAAAGTGGGCAGCAGCCCCCGAGGTCAGCAGGGGGCAGGAAGCGCTGTGCACTGGCTGTGCCTCAGCACGCAGGGACCACACAGAGCTGCTGCAGCCCAGGGAGAGCGGCCCACCACGGTGCAGGAGGGCTGCAGCCCAGATGAGGTCCTGCATCACTGCCTGCGGCCACGTGGGAGGAGCTCCTGAAGGCAAGGCAAGGGAAGGGGCCACCCTGGGGCTGGGAAGAGCAGGGGAAGGAGGAGCAGAGGAGGAAATCCTACGGCTTAGATACAAGAATTGAGGCAGACTGAAGCTGGGAAGAAGGGGAGCGGCAGGAAAGTGTTCTTGTTTGCTTTTAGTTCTCACTGCCCCGCTCTGTTACGAATTCATCTTCCACACGCTGAGTCTGTTCTGCCCACGGTGGTAAGGGTGAGCAATCTCCTGTCCTTGAGACCTCAGCACACGAGGTGGTGGGGTTCTGTTGGGAAATCACACTTTCTCCATGTGGGCTGAGGAGAAATGAGGGAACAGCTTGGTGGGCAGCCAGGGTCAGCCCTGTGCAGGGATCGATACGAGACTGAACAAAATGCTTCAGACAGCTCCATAAGTTAGTGCAGGGAATTAAAAAAAATGCATTTATGGTAAACTAGAATTGTACAGATACCAATTTTATCAGTTACCAGCACACAATTCTTGCTTCACACATACCCTGTGAACATCAGCTCATTTTACATGCAAAAGACCAAAAAGCAGGTATTACAACAGTTCTTTCACAACCCTAATTTAGAAAAATATATTTTACTCTTTGTTGATACTGCACAGTGAACTTCACTCGCTCTTCTGATCAAGTTGAAGGAGAATAATACTGTCCATAATTCCATGCGTTCTGGTAATTGTACTACAACAGAAAAAGACAAGAGATAAATAAGTCAGAATGCCTTGCTGCTTTAAGCTGATGCTCTTCTTTCCAGAAAGGCACACAGGGCTTCAGCATTTCGTCCTATCAGCTGCTCTGATCACAGCAGCCCCTGCAGCCACACAGGTGTCAGTTGCCCTGTGTCACATCCACAACACCTTCTGCTTGGAGCTCTGCATGCTCCTGAATCTCAGTAATACAAAGGGTGGAACAGCTGCAGGCCTTCCCTGCAGTGCAAGGCCTGTCAACTCTGAACTGCCTTACAAGAGCAGCTGTGCTTCAGTTGCAATAACAGAGCAAGGCAGACACTGCTGCCTGGGATGTTTTTGTCCATCCCCTCAGAGAGGGCTTCTGTCTGATCTCCTCCACATGATTTGAAATACAAGCACTCAGGGATGGACTCAGCACTTCAACAACAGCACAGAGACCTTCACCAAGGAAGGGCACAGGTCTGCTCCTCCTGTGGCTCTGACTGCCAACAGGGCTCTCCCCCTAACCCAGCACTGACTGGTTTCCTCGCACTGCACAGCTGACACAACTTTCCCCACCTGGCTTTGCAGTGAACATTTGTCCTTAAGGCAGACAGTTCTAGAACAAGTTACACAGCTGCCTGTGTATCTGGGAACACTGCTCTCATTGGCTTGGTGGGCTCCTGCAACTAAAAACAAGTTTCCATTGCACTGCTTAAGCAAATGTTTCAGCTGCCCTTCTGCTACTCAGAACAAGGCCATGCATTCCAAGCCCACAGCAAGTGATGCACATCCCTGCTGATGAGGAGCAGCACTATTCACCTTCAGGATTAACCTCATACAGACAAGGCAAGTCTCGATGCTCTGACTTTGTAATCCTCCCCTTGGCCAAGACACAAAACGAGCTGTTAGTGTAGAAGCAAGCAGAGCGTGCACTGGAGGTGCTGCACCACAGGCCCAGCAACAAGAGGAAACCAAGCTTACTACATTCCTGTGTCCCTACAGGGGATAAAATGCCATGCAGGAACAGCCTCTGATCTCACACACATGGTACTGGGGCAGGAGCACACACAGAGATGTTACAGGAAGCACCAGCTGGAGAAGTTAACGATGAAAACTCTCCTTAGGTGCTGCTGTGCTTCCCTTCATCTGAAGGGTCACCAAGCTGTTATCTGCCCCACACTACAGAGAATTATTTTACACTTACAGGATAAAGAGCAACAAAAGCAAGATGAGGCTTTATTCCAGCCTTTCCTTAACGACTGACACTTGGCCACAGGTAAAGAGAAGTCCCCAGGAAAACAACAGCTTGCATACATCCAAACGTGTGCAGCAGGAAGAAAAAACAACCCTCACCTGATACCAGGCATTATAGTTGTATGCTGCCTGATTGACCTGCATGTCTCCATCCATCATCTGTGCTGATGCCATGGTTTGCTCGTCTGTGAGCATTTTCTTCTCATCTGGCTCCTCCGATCTGCAAAGTCAGCACATGCCTGTGAAGGGTGCCTTACATTGTGCACACCAGTGAGAAATGCTGCCACAGACAGGAGTGAGCAGCATTTCCAAATTCAGCATCCTGTTTAATGGGATAATGCAGCAAGGTTCTGAGGAGGACAGTGATGTACGCTGCCTCAGAACAGCCTGCTGTTTAAATCATGCTGGTGCTCCAACTGAGACATCAATTCCGTGCCCCTACTTGGAGCTTTTGTTACTTTTACCAGCATTCTTTAGTTTTAGTGGAACTAAATCTAACTTGCAGTCACTTACAGAGGAAATCTCCCAGGATTTAAACCCTCAGTGCAGCCCTAGGGTTCGCTTTTAAGCGAGAAAGCAGCAATTTTGTTCTTGCAGTCAGTTTTAAAGACAAATATATTTATTCCACAAAGTAGCAAAAAAATAAAAACCAACCCCAAACCACCAGCCTCAGAGGCTGCTCCCTGCAGTATTTCTGCATCAGACAATACATCGGGGCAGTACACCATCCACCCAGTTAGCTTACACATCAGGCTACCCACCCGTTCTCTGCTCTCCTCTTTAAAGTATCCTGCTCCTTCAGAAGTGCTTGGTGCTCGTCATATGCATCCAAAAGCCTGAAGGAAAAAAGAAACACAAAGTGCTTTGCTCACCATGTTAACATTTTAAGCACAAGAAATCCTTTTAAAACGTCTACTTCAAAATGTAGAAATACTACAACATTCTACCCCAGTGACCAACGGATTGAAAAGCCAAGGAAAAACAAAGCAAACAAATTCCACATCTTAATTTGAAGGGAGATTCCATAAAGCACAGCAAGAATTTTCTCAGAACCGTTAGCTGACAAATCCCCAACTTGCTCAACTCCTCACACTGCCTGCAGTTCTTTTATAGCCAAACTTCACAGAGGTTTCCAAAACGTGCTGCTCCTTCCAGCAACGGCGTCACGTCACCTTGGTGCTGCTGCACCACACTGCACTGATGCTCAGGACTGGATGTGCCTTTAAATACTGGCCATCAGTGTTATACAGAATGAAACCTGCAGCAGAAAATGTAAGGGCTTTCCTCCACCAGGGAAGGACAAGTAATGTGCTGCAGCCCACCTGAGCTGTGCCACTGCTGCTTTATGGATGACTGCGTGCTGCTGAGCAGAAGTCTCACTTCCTTTCCTAATTCAAACTCACTGACTATCACTGCAGCTGATCATGCTACAGCTCACAAGGCACCAAATGCAAAATGCTTCATCTGCCAGTACTGCTCCTGAGAAAAACGTTTCTTGCTCTTATTCTTGCTCCTGCAGTACTGTTTGCAAGCTTTACACTTCCCTTTGTTTGGTCTGCTTCAAACCCAAAAGCTGCAGCGCCCAGCTGCCATGTGAGCCACAACGCTCAGAGCCAGCACAAGTTGAGGACAGCTACTGCTAAAAACACACAGCAGAAAGATTAACTCCTGCTTCATCTTGCCCAGTTACTTAGCTGCAAAATGTAAATAAAAACAAGAGCTTATTTTACAATAGAGAATCAAGACACATAAAGCTTATCTAGTGTTTCAGTAAAAGCTGCACTCTTACATGATTCTGCCATGGAAGCACATGGCACTGCTAACACTTCTAAGTGCAGGGGAAGGAAAAAACCAACATTGTAGTCTTGGGAT